CTTATAACCTTAATTCATGATGAATATCCACTCATATAATAATGTGTGCTTGGGGAGACTCTGTCTGAAGAAAAGGTTTGTGTTGCTTTAAGAAAAAATTAAAGCTTAAAAAAAAAATCCTGAAAATGGGAAGTTAATGAATCATCCATGAGCTTTTGCTGAGGAGTAAAGGGTGTCTGGGAGTTTCAACATTTCGTGTCACCTTGTAGACAGACACTGTTTTCCAAAGTCAGTTATGTGATGAAGAAGATATTAAGATTAAATGAGCAGTGCAGAACTCAAAAGCAAACCCATAATTATTAATAGATATTTAAATTGGCAAGCAATTGATTTTTAAATTGTCCTTTCACCCTTGTGTGTAATGCGGCTTGCCTCACAGTGACAAATTAGCAGCAGCACTGTGCTGTGACTGTTTCTACTGGAAGGTTCTCATTACCATTCAGGGGTTTTGCTGGCTCATCAGTGAATCGTGGACAGCATTTCGATCACTGAAGTGTGGCCCAGAAACCAGAGAAAGGATCGGAAATAGAGTCTATAAAAGGCTTTTCTTAAATTCTAAGATTGATTGGGTTCTTGAATAGGACTAAGTTCTTTGGCTTCAGTGTTATTATTTCTTATGTATCCCAGAGGAAGTGACAGTACACTCACCCCCTCCATCCCTCTCTTTAAATCTTAGTATTCTTGTTTATCTGTCAGGAAAATAAGAACAGCAACATGTAATGGACTGAATGTGCTTTTTTTTTTTTTTTAATTGAAAAGAACAATCCCCTTAATCCCAGTAGCACTGGGCTGAGATCTAAGGTTTTGATCCAACTTTCATTATTTGCCAACATCTGCAAGATAATTATACTATCAGCTATAGAAGGATCAAGTTAAGCATCTTCTTGGACAAATGATTTTCAGATACTAGTCAAAAAGTAAATCTATTTTTTAGTTGCTACTTGGCATTTGTTTTATCTAGGTTTTGATTAATCAGAGCTCTAATTAGAATTAGTTGCAATTTTGACTGTCAAATTAAATATTTTTAAAACAGTAAAGGTTTCACAGAGCACATTGCTTTGCTACCATTTCCAATGGGGTAGGTTCTGTATCTCAAGAACAGAAACTCCAATCAGCCAGGATAACATTCATAAGAAAACCTAGACTTTTGAACTTGAAAATTCGTATTTGCAGGCAGTCTTGTGTAATTTTACAAGACTATGCTTTGATAAAACAAAAGCAAGTATTTGATCTTCAAAGACTTCAAAACCCCACAAAGCGGGATTTTGCTCTTTAGTTTGGATTGTGTACCCCACACAACACATCACCTTTGAGAGAGTGTGATTTAACAAACTTGTGACAATCCTGTTGCCACTTCTGGTATTTTCTCTTCTCTTTTTCCACATTCAGAGTTCACACCTCATCATTATTTCTTTTTATAACCCATGTTCATCTTTGTATTATTACCAGTGAACAAAGCACATGAACCGAACTCACACTAGACTTTAAGAATAAATGTTAGATTAAAATTCCAAGTATCTCAGAGGGCAAAAAAGCCTTCTCAAGGTTAAAATTGCTTTGCAGTTAGTATAATATAAAAAAAAAAAGAAAAAATGTAAGGTACAAACTATTTTTCATGTTCACAAGGAATTGGTCGGTTGATAACAGGCTTAAATTTTATCAGGGAAAATTTTAGTTAGACTTCAGGAGAAATAGATTTAACCATGCTCGTTTAGTTGAACATTAGAAGGACAGTCTGTTATTTGAATATTTTACAATGTGAATAGACAAGCCTCTGTCAGGAATTGTTTTAGTTAATTGAAGGCTACTGTCAGGCAAAGGGATGGATTTTATTGCTCCTTCAAATCCCTCTTTATTGTATGTGCCTCATTTTCAGTTGAAGGTGCCCACTTTTCAGATTTATGTAACCTTTGACATGGACAGGTGTCTATAAAAGATTTTTTGCCCTCAGCTGTTACATGGTCTTTGCAGATATTGAGCTTGAGCTGTTTCATTCTAGAGCAGCACAAGGCCAAGTACAAGGTGATATTCTCAAGGTAACATGACAAGCAAATGCCTGCCCCAGCTGACCCTCAAATATTTAGTAATGTATAATCTCCCCACACATACTGTCAGATGGTTTGAGGTTAACGAGAACAAGAGCTGACATGGATACCTGGAACAAAGGGGTGAATTTCTCAGCAAGCTAACCAAGGCAAGAAAGTATTTTGTCTACTGATATTACCTAACAACCTAAAGATTCAGCCAACCCTTCAGAGACTGACATGATGATGCCTCTGATGGAAGGTAGAGGTATATTATTAAAGTATTCCATGTTTTCCTCGCTGCATACCAGCACTTTTCTAACATTGTCCAGGTTTATTCAGCAGAAAATTTTCTGACACCATGTTGTCATTTCAGCAATGATAGTGCTGAATGATGAGTGTCACTGGCATGTTGTGAAATCTATCTGAACCCTCTGTGCACTCTTTTCATTTACACTGGAATTACTGAAAGGTGAATGAATTACTTTGGGTAGATTCCTCTACAGCCTGCAACTAAGAGAAAAAGAGAAGAAGCAGTTCTACCAAGAACAGCTGTGACTACTGTAAGATGAAGCTATCAGATCATCTTCCTCCGGTTGTAATACTACACATTGAAAAGGCTCTTGAGATGTGCAACTATACAGGAACAGAGATCTGTTCACATCTGCAGGAGACATTGAAACATCTGCATACAGCACAGTGGTTATGTCACATGCAGTTGAAGCTTGGTGTTTACTTAACTGTTTATTTGAGGTAAGGATTATGGGCCTATGAACTGAGCTGAAATTCACTTCAGGGTCAGGTTTATAAGAGGTTTTAAGAGTCAGCTATTGGTTTGTTTGAGACTACTTCACTGTCAGTAGATTAGACAGAAAAGTTCCTCTAAAGGAGATTGTAGGGGATCCTCCAGAAAGTGTTGATGGAGGGATTGTGTCACTCTGCTCTCAACCCTTGCTCTGATGACATATAGAAACAGTTCTGACAGTAAATGGATATTGTTAATTATTGTTGAGCTGAGAAGCCAAAGGCAGCCAAAAGCAATGCTACCTCACATCCTCTGTATCTGCAAGTATCTCCCAACAATAGGTGTATTTCAGTAGCACTAGCAGAATCAGCATTTGTCCTTTGCACTTTTTCAGTCTGATTTTAATTGCTGATCACTGCAAGTGAAGAAGCAATCAAATATGAAAAGTGTGATTTGAGGCCTCAGTTCTGTATGATACTGAGCATGCCTGTATTTGTATATAACTGTACATTGTTATGACTCAGCTGGTCATAAATCTGGGGCACTCACCATCTTGCAGGATGAAACCATGGAATGAAACAACAACACTTCTAATCAATAGCAAAGACAGAAATAGTGGATTTATTATGTGTATTGATTGAATGACCAGATTAAGAATATCTGAGGATAAAATCAGAGAGATGAGGAAACTTTCTTTGTTGCTCTAGCACACATTTTATTTACAATTTCCTGACAGAAATAAAATGTCTATTGGCTCTTGGTATCAGTTTCTAGTGGACCACAGACTGCTCTGATAACTGCAATTGCAATGAGGGATGCAACAAATCCACATTTGAGATATGCTGAGTGCCAAATACTAGTGTTTCTCCCTGGGTCACAAGTATGGATGTGTGTTAACGCAAGGCAGGAGCTTGAGAGCAGTAACAGTAACTACAATGGGAGTGGGAGAGATGAGAAATTAATACTGTCACTAAAAAGCAGGTGATAGCTCAGAGAAGAACAGAGAAGCAACATTGCCAGTGTCATGATTTTAGTCTTAAGATACCTTTTATCATTTAACAGCATCTACAGAAAGATGTTTGGGTTAGACTTTCCGGGTTCCTTTCCTTACAAGTTTTCTACACTTATTTTTATCATTCTCTGATAGCTGTATTAGTAACCTTTGTAATAACTACTAGTGATGTCCAGAGGAGATAACTAAAATTGCAGCTGGGAAGTAACATCAGGAATAATAAACTCTTGAAACCAATCTTCACTGTTTTCATGTGAATAACTTGACAGTAATGCATCAGGAAAATAAAAATCAGGAAATAGAAACATAGTGATGTAAAACATAGGCGTTAAGCAATGCACTCATAAGAGCAGGAATAGAATTTGTGGGCAAATCTAGGTAGAGCGGTACCAAGAAATTCCCCTGGACTTAGATCTTCACTTTGTTGCAGACAACAAAGTAGTCATCACAGAAAGAACTATCATGAATTCTGGAAAAGAAGACAAGCTGTTGACTTTGGTTAATGTTTTTGTAAAACTGTCCAGAAGACGTAAGAAATAATTGGATGAGAATGAGAACTTTAAGTAAAAAAGAAGATGCTGGACATATTCCATAGTGTCAGCTGCCATTCCACTGTCGTGGTGGGAGTAACCAATTTATTGCATGATTATGGAGGTGCCTTCTTAATGTATATTTCAGTAGAAGGTTCTGAGTATTAAAAATGACAAAGCTAGCCAGCAGTCCCTTATGTGATCACACTTTCAGGTGTCTGTCTCCACAATTGTGTAAATTCAGAGAGGGTGGCTGCTTTTAGCCTCTGAACTATCACTCAATATTAAAATCCTGAAGGTCCCAACCATATTTCATCTGGCCCTTCTCTGATAGCGAGCAGCAGCAACTATTGGGCAGAATACAAGAACATGAAGTATTGTCCCCACATCTCTTCATAAAAACATTTGGTTTTCACCTGAAAATTGTTAGTACAGTGTATTGGCATTGCTATGAGATAGAGTGGCAGTGATGATGCTGTGACATTACCAGACTGAGTCCTCTAAAAACATTTTCCATGTAAGGCAATAGGACACTCACTCTGTCAATACAAATTTGGGATGATTATGGCATTTTATGAAAGGGATTGTTATTATTCAAATTTGTGTTGGTTTTGATTTTATTTTTTTTTCCACAAAAACAATAGCATATCAGTATATTTATATGCACAGAAGGGAAAGCTACAAAACTCTAGACCAGATATAGATTTATTTATAAGTTATGAAATATGAAGTTATCCTTAAATACAAATAGTAATAGAAACAAACAGAAAGCTTGTACAAAGGTAACAGAAGAATGCTTAAGTGAACAAGGTCATGCTGGAATCATGTGAACAGAACTCGTGATTTTCTGTGGTCATTCACTTACATTTAAAATAAAACTAGGTCCTGACCTCTGTGGTTTACAATGCAGGGGGAATCTGGAAATCTTGCCCCAAACTGACAATCCATTGTTTATTGAGAATCATATGGGCTTAGTATTACAAATCTATGTCCACGTAAAACAGGATAAAGTACTATTTTCTATTATTTTTCATTCAGCTATCTTTTCCAGAAATGTTTCAGCAACCTGTGTGCCATATGTGAAAATATCTGAGTTATGAATTTGCTGAATTCCTTTCCAAAGAAGATTTATTCTCCAGGGACTTTGAGCTCAGCATGGGTAAAGTGGTAAGCACGAAGATCAGAAGGCTTTTCCTTAATTCTGGATTGATTCAGATGCTTTAATATAATATTGTTAAGTTTCTTCAGCTCTTCTATGTTCTTCTTTTCAAATAGTAGTCTGCTTGATATTTGGTCCACCTCATTTCTAGTTTGAACTTGAAAAGGAAAATGTACCATATTAAATTGGCAACACTTCAGTCAAGAGCATCACTACCTTCACTTGTATTTCTGCGAGACTTTGTAAGGAATTATGATGACTAAAAATATTTAAAAAGAACACAACTGCAGAACTTAATAATAAGAAGTTAGTTATACATCTGGTGGGTTTACCTGCTCACTATGTTATTTTTTGCTTGTTTGCTGGATTCTTTTTTTAGTTTAGTGCAGAGTAATAAAATCATATATGGCTCAGATAATTTTTGCAGTTTTCAGGAGCATTTCCACCAGTGTCCACAGGGAAATATCTTATTTAGGGACTTCAAAATCCAATTTGTGGTTAAGTATGTGCATATGTTTTTATTTTAAATTAAAAAAAAATTATTGCAAATACTGGCATTTCAAGGCCAGCCTTCTCTGGCACACTTGCAGAAAAGTGCACAATATGCACTTTTGGAGCTATTTTTATTTTGACCTTCTGAAGTTAAAAAAATTTACCCATGGGTTTTGAAGTTTATTTCATAGAGGCAATGCTAAGTAAACCTATGCATGTGGTTTACAAACATGTCAGATTATGTAACACACTATACCTGTACGTATCTAAAAAAACATTGTAACATAAACTGAAACACCACTGGAAATTGGTATCAAAAGCCACAGGCCTCCACCAGCCTGAGACAAATCAAACTGCTTTAATTCTTGTAACAAAGTTTTTCACTTTAGTTTATATTTTTTTCCCACAAGAGCAACCCAACCCTAATTTTTCTATATCAAGTCTCTACTTTTAGCAGCTCCATGTTAAATAAATCTGAAATTCAAGTATGAGATATTTAAACTAGGATTTTACAATCATGTTACTTAAAATCTACTTTATGCTCTTTACTTGTCTGATATTTCTTTGAGTGCCTGTAAAAAAATTTAATCAAGACTAGAATTTCCTGGCCTAGAAGAATAATCAGGATTTTCTTTATGTTTCAGCAAATTCCCTACTACAGGATATAAGAAATCTTGATTTCATATGGGTTCCAATTCTTTCAAAATAGACTTATAAATTGAAATCATGCACCTCAGATTCTGTTCAATATTATTATCTCAGAAAACCCCAAGATGACAACAATTCCATTAATCAGCCATGTCTTTAGCTAAACCTGCCTGATCAGTCCTAAAAGTTGGAACAGTAATTGTGTCTACAGACTCAATGCTACATGCAAATCTTGATAAATGTCTAATTCTTTTTCTTATGCCTAAGACCTTCTTAGTTCCAAATCAATTTCCAGTCAGTACTTTGATGACAAAGGGTCAGATCTTGCTTCAGGTAGCCTGATTTAAATGTTAGCCTGGGTGGAATTCCAGTTTCAGTGGAATGACCCCAATACTGAGTTTTATCTGGAAATGAATGGAAGGCACATTGCCAAAGTATCCACTGCCATACAATTACCCTTAAATTTTAATTTCATTTCCAGTCAGCATTTTTAGCAACACAGTACAATGCTGCTGAGGTAAATTCTTCATAGATGTTGAAGCTCACAAATCCTTTGCACTAAGAATAAAATTGTGCCTTTTAGCCCTGAGAGAGTGTTTTTTGCCTGTGCTTCTGCCCCTAGGAACACGATCCAGTGCCCAGCCAAAGCCTTTGACCATGCAAATACAGGAGTAGAACGTTATAAGGTAGCATGACACATTTCAGCAAAATTCTTTTTTGCAATCGACCCTATATTTTTAAGAACTACTCTTTGGTTTACTTACATATTAAAAATATTACAAATGAAACAAGCGCCAAACTGACGACCAAAGTAAGAATGAAGATGCCGAAGAACAAATGCTGGTTTCTTGTGTTGCTCCCTCCAGTGCTTTCTCCAGTACCACCAGTGTTCTCTTCCTGATCTGTTAAGAGATGACAAATCATTTAGTGATATAGTTTTTCAAGGTTGGTTAGGATAAGCATGAAAAAATGCTTCTGGCTTCATGGAATGACGCAGGATACATCATATATTTAGTCAACAGATTTTATTTCCTGTGATATTTTATGAAAATGGAAGAAATCAACTTTATGAACTCAGCTTGAATTTGGAAATATAAAAAAAATTATGCATCTGTTACAGTTGTTAGAACACACTCAACAAAAATGTTTCTGTTGCTGAAGTACAGTGTTTTGTTGAAGTTGACCTGTTTTACCATTTAGAGTTTTACAGCCATTTTACACATACAAAGGTTGCAATGAAGTTTTCATCAGGCAGCTTTGTAAGGGCTTGATTGCATTTAACCTTTTCAAAAGGGATGAAAGAGGAATTCATATTGAAAACCAACGTACACATTCATCCTCTAGATATGCTTCTTTTTCTGTTTAATGAGAAGTATCCCTGGGACGATTAATTTCCCAAAGTAAACATCTCAGTTAAGCTCCTCATGTTGGATAGAATCAATGTAGGTCTTGACTGTTTTATCTTAAAACAAATGTTTTTAATATCCTTCATCTTTAAGATTTGTTGGTTTCATTCCAGTAAAAAATGAGGTACCTATGCTCGCAATTGTCAAGAGTAGAACAGGCTATCGTATGGACTACATATGTTGTCCTTTAAGCACAGGAAGAATGAGGGGGAAAAGGAAAGGCACTTGCAATGCTGATCTTGAATCAGCTTAACAAGCCAGTTCATTGCTTTTTAAAGAATGTGTCACATATATAGGGAAAGTCAGTAGTTTGTCTCATAGAAACAGTTGCAATCAATGTGAGGTGGCAGTAAGCCCCAAAGATATCAAGTCAAGTGAATCCCATGAGGAAATTCCTGTGAATGTAAAAAATTTACACTTGAGCCAGATTTGTTAATCTTAAGTTTGTGTACTACTGCAATAATTTACAAAGATTTGGGTTTATTTTCTGTCTTGAAGGGAGGAGGAAGCTAATGTAATTTCACTTTGGTGTCAGTCTCATACATAGTAAAATTACATGCAAATTACTGTAATTTATCCTTCTGTAATTGGTGTCTTGCCATTCTGAAAGGGAGAGTAGCATGTGCATCTGTGAAAAATGTATTTCTAGACCACGTTCTTGTTTTAGCTGGTGGAAATCTCTGAGATCTTTGCAACTGAGCCTGTAATGATAAAGCTGAGGAAAGGCTGTATATGCCATTATAGCACTTTAATAATGACCCTACCTAGTGCTGAGCAATTCACTGAGCTGGTAGATCTCAGGGAATATCTCTGGTTTTCTTTATTTTGTTTAACCCACTCCTGTCCATGAGTAAGCTGAAATATTTTCCTATTTGTCCTTTGAGGTTCTCTTGTTACTCCCTTAGCATTCATAACAAATGTACCACACACTAAGTGTCTGCACCAATATTGCTTTGTAATCAGAATAATAGGGATGGGCAGGGCCTGCTACTGCTGCCTGCCAGGCATCCTAAGTTATCAATAGTGGTCTCAAAAGTGCTCTGAGCTCACTCTGCCTGATGAATGCTTCTTACTGTTTAATCAGGCTGAGCATGCCAGGCTGCAGTGTTGTGAGGATTGGTGAGCACACATTCTTGTCAAACTGCAAACAGTGGGAATTTTTATCATCTAAAACATGAAATTACTGCATGGCTTCTACTAAAACAACCAAACAGTATATACATTTTAAACAGCTTTTGACATATCTGTGATTTTCTGGCAAGAGAACTAGTTTATGCTGCTGAGTAAGGTAGCTGACAGGATGAGATATCTACAGGCTTTCCAAGCTTAAAAGCTACATTAAAAGTGTAATCCAAGAAGGAGTCAAAGGGTTTTATAAATTTATGAATAAAATACTTAATAAACTACTATTTTTTAATGGTGAAATGTAGGGAAGGGCATGAATGTGATTATTCCAGAGAATCACATATGTTTCCACAGAACCCTGTATATTTACCCGAAAAGTCAATAATACGGTCCAGTAAAATTGCAAAAGAAAGCAGAACAGTTACACCGAGTTTCTTTAAAATTAAAATTTATGTACATCATTGTCTTATTTTCTATGTGTAAAAGAGACAATGTCAAGATAATCTGCATGTGAGAATTTAGTACTCTATGTCTAAAATGTTTGCGTTAAATGCAGAAACCAGTACCACTCAAGCTAGTTGGATTAGGAGAAGTTAGGGGACTTGGAAACAGAAGTCATTAGAAAACATTTAAGACCCATAACTAGAAGCATGATTAGGTTATGGCCCCTCAAAACACATTCCAACGTAGCTGTTGATCTATAAATTTCTTCACTTCAATTTGCCATTACAATAAGGTAAGTAAAAGCAGACTCAAATATTGTTATGTGGAATGCTGCTGAAGACCTCCAGGTTTTAAGATATTTTCATGTCACAAAGAACTCAAACTGTAGCTATTGCCAGGTGAAAATATTCTTGTTGCTGTGAGAAATCAAAGGCAAAACCTTATCAAATCAGTAGAAATTTGGGAGCCATAACTGAAACTGTAAGTAAAGAAAGTCCAGAGAGTAAAATGCTTGAATGTTTCACAGGATATTTCAGGTAAGTGGTTTGAGTTCTTAGGAAATATGTCTTAAAGGAATGAACAGAAATTCTCAGGTGCTTCTATTGCCAGATATGAATTTTAGTGCTTGGGAAGAGCTATGATGCTATTTACTTAGTAGGTGTATATTGGACATTACTATAGAGACATTATCCTGCAAGTGATCACCTCATAAATCCCAACTGAAATGGAAGATAAGTTCAGGTTGGACAGTAAATCCCTAACTAAATGGAAGGATTTTCAGGAACCTAAAGCAGAAATACTGAGCAGAGACAGCTAAATCATTGTCTGATTTAAATTATGCCATTTTCAATCTTTTTCATACATTTTTCAGTACAGAGCTTGGCATACTTATTGGCCTCTTAGGCTGTTGCCTCAGTGACCACACAGTATTTCTATATATTGTATATATAGAAATCCACAGATCACCTATCATACATACCTAGTGAACGCTGGGATTCAGCTGGGCAAACATTTAGCTTGTTTAGGTTGTTTAGGGAATCAACTACATAAAGCTTTCCTTCTTCGTGAGTATCAGGCAGGTTAAATTCCAAGGGAGGCTTCTCCATTGTCTTAGTATATTATCCTTTGATACGGTGAGTACTTGGTAAGATTTGGTGTGAGATCCCGACCACAGTGAAAGCCAGACCTTCACTAACACTTCCAGAAAGGATGTCATTCAGGTCCTCTTCTTTCAGCATCAAGTAATTGAGAGATAAGACAGGGAAAGCAGGTATGAATGCAGAAATAAGCAACAAGAGTCTGTTTATACACCTTAGAATATCACTGAAATTATTATTTGTGAAAATGGAACAAAAAATAGTAGTCTTGTAATGCAGTTCTACTTCACACAGTTTTGGACAAATTTAAAATGCTTTTTCTTCAGACTAATACCCCTTGCTTTAAAAAAGGCACTGCAGGAGGTTCAGTTAGTAAAAACAGTTTCACTGTAGAGTCCAGGTGCATGAACTCAGTGAATGATCCTTAATATAAATAGTTCTGAAAGAAGATTATATATAGAAAATAAGCAATTTTAGGGAAGTGGCTTCTATGTATTGCACATTATTTCTTATCAGTCTTTTGCTTTTCTTTACACTACTCTGATAGCAAAAATGTCTTTTGAAACAAGCTAGAAACTTCTAGCTATAAGGAGATGCAGACACCCTAAGTAGGCATGTTTGTCTACAATTGTCACTGAAAACTCCCTCTGTAATTATTGAAGAAAAACACATTATTCCAGATACTATCCCTCTTATTCTAAGATATATCTTATCTCACCTTAGAATGTCTCACCTTAGAATGACAGCCTAAATGTACATTTTTCTTGCTAGTGAAAGTACGGAGGGAGCCCCCACAGATTAGTTTAAATTTGGAGTAGAATGCATCTTATCCATTTAGTATTTTATAAAGCTCCCAAGTTCAATTTTATCTGCCAACATAAATCAGCACTTCATGGGATGCAAACCTTCTTGATGACATGTGTTAAGCACCCAAGGGTGATTTCTGAATCCTAGATGGGTTGAACTGTCCTCTTGACATGCTTCTGAACCTCTTCTTCCTCTCCGAGGAATACAGAACACAGTGTGTCCAGCTTCTTAATATAACAAATTAAAAACCTCAAATTTTAGCCCTGATGGTTTGCAGACAATACTCACTTCTTCCCTCATTGAATCAAATGCAGAAGATTGTCGTAATTCCCCCAAATCTAAGCAGAAAGTAGACATTCAATAAGCCTCAGTAAGTCTGAAGACCAAGCACTGAAACCAATCCTGACAACGGGACAATGGGGCTTGTTCTCCTGCTAGTGGAGACTGACAGGACTATATAGATACTTTCATTTCTTTTTAACACCCCATAAGAAAAGAGTACAACTTTTTTTTTCCTCTCTGTTCAGAAGTGTTGCTTCAAAGCACAAAGAAAATGCAGAAAAGCTGGCATAATAGGGGTTAACCTTACCTAGTATATGATTTTTAGGTGTGCAGCAGTAACTTCTGGACAGAGGGCTGTGCCTGCTATCCTTCCTCTAGAACATGACATGGTACCAGGCAGCAGTCTGTGAGCCACGTCCCACCAGAGGTGGCTCTGCTCTGCTGTCTCCCCACATGCACATCCTCAGCCAACGCAATCACTATGGAGCCCTGTGTTTGAACATTGTGCTGAAAGTTACCACTTTGTGCACAAAGGCTAATGGTTATTTTTGGGATTGCGAAGAGCAGTTGTTTCTCTATTTTGATTAATGCCTCCCTGCAGCTTCAGGGAAGACTCTTCTTTTAACAACTTGAGCTGTAATAAATGCAAGTACCTTTGATTCATTAGTATTATGAATTATATGTTTCTGCACTTGCTACTAATTATTTAAGTATTTGCACATGTAAACACAGTGAAGATTACCATTATTAATTCAAAAAAGTTTATATTACATTTGTTTGATTCCATTGACATGCCAAAGGAAAAAGGATAAAACATCAGTGTCACTGGACAAAAGTTTTGATTATTTTCCCAACAAACCAATCTAAACATTGGGACCTTTGGATTCACTTTATCTTGTACTTTCACCTTGCCTAAAGAATTTCTTCCCCCATGCAACTTTTAAATTTCTTCTTAAGTTGTTGCAGTGAAAAGAAAAACTTAGAATGAGAACACACTGAAAGTTCTTAACAGAAAAAAAAGAAAATAAAATCTAAAAAGTTAAGAAACAGGAAAATGAAACACTACTTACAACATTCAGGTAATGTGCCAGTATGGAAGAAATCAGCCAGTGAAAATCATGTGAAGAAAACTTGTTCTGAAGTTCCTTTCTCTACTTTTAGTCCCATAGGAAGCTGTGGAGTGCTGCAGTACCCATAAAGATAGCTATGAAACAGACTGCCCCTTTCAGTCTATATTTAGAGTTCAACGTGGCTAAGTATACTCACTTCACAAAACTGATCTGCTGAAACTGAAATCAGCACATACACAGCTCTTTTTTATTATATTGGAGTCATGATAATATCCCATCATGGAGAATGAGGGTTGTTACTGATGATCAGTATTTCGCTAACCTCTTGGTTAGTGCTAACCCTCTCAGGTTTAGTGCTTGTCTAAAATGCATTTGCCATGCTGAAGAGTCATATCTGCAACACTGTAGCTATGCGTAACCAGTTTGCTATGCAGCAGAGTCATATCTACAGTATTGCAGTCATAAGTATTTTAAAGTCACAGACTAGAAAAACCAGGGTCTTTTCCCCCCTTCTCCCATATCCTTTATGAATTCAAATGGAACAGTATTATATGGTGGACGAATTTGTCTGACATACTTAGTTGTTCAAAGATTAAATTCTGATGAACTGGTGGTGAGTAGTGCAATTGATCCTTTTCTGACAGTTCTTTTGATCACCTTTTCCCTTGCTGACACTGCAGAAGGCAGTGTTACAGCACACTGTATCGACAGGCAGCTGACAGACAGGACTGCAGCTCAAAACAACAAATCCTTTCTGAAGCCCTCCCATATCTAAAATTCTGAATCCCTTTAAACTGCCCATAAACACATTTATCTCTCAGGAAACAACAGAATAATGAGTCTGACTCATATTTCCAACCCTAAGCTGCCATGTTCTGCTGCTCAGAATTGCTCCCTTTCTGTAGAAGGCTCCTGGAAGTCCTCCCTCCAAATAAGGATGTGTAAGCCAGAATTAAAAAAAAAAACCAAGTGTGATTTCCATACCCCAAAAACTCCTGACACCAACATAAATGTAAGAGAAGGACCCAGGCCTCTCCAGTTCTAAGCTTCAAAAGATCTGCACAAACCCAAAGGATGGCTGCAGGGCTGCGGAAGAGCCACCTCTGCAACAGCCCTGGAAGGCACGTGGGTCACCGTGTGTGGCAGCTACACTGGAAGTGGGAAAAGAGCAAGCACCTGCTTGGCCCCCTGGCAGGAGGTGCTGCAGAAACTCGGGGCAGGAAGCTATCAGAAGTGCCTGGCAAAGGACACCAAAGGTGACTATGCAGAAGCCACAGGAAACAACAGCTGGCTCCAGGGAACAGTGTAGCTTAAAGGGAATGGTCTTGGGCTGGGCAAGTACAGGCACACAGCCTCACCTCGTTCAAGGATCAGGTTTTTCTCTGCTTGGATGACACTGACATGAGTTCATCATCAGTTTTGTGTAGTCCAAGTGATCAGTTTTGCAAGCCAAACAAGTTCTTACATAGGGGAGTATTTGAAGGGTGAAAAAAAGAGGGTAAAGTAGAAAGTACAACTCATTAGTATGCACTGACTTTCTGGAATAGGGTCAGCTGAAATCAGAAACTGGGAGGGAAAAAAACCACAACCAACCCCTCCACCCCAAACCCAACCCTCCCTTATCAGAGCAGGCAACAGTTTCCAGGGGGCAGTGCTGTTTTCAATGCAATGTTTACTTGATCTGCTGCTAAACATTTTAAGAATGTTTATTTGAACAAGCACTTTTATAGATCTTCAGATTCAGAAGCTCCATCCATCTAGGTTTTAGTAACTTAACACCTCCCCACCCACTGTTCCTAAGACAGTTCTGTTACTGGCACATTTCAGTCCTACAAAATCAGAAGTTGAGGTTAAAAGAGTAGTTTTCAACACGATGAAAACAGGGAAGGTAGAATGGTTCCTCTAAGTTAGAGGACGTGTTCCACAGCACCAAAACCAGGAAACTTTTGACCATTGGAGAAGCAATGACAAATCAAGATTAGGCTGTTGTGCAGACCACAGGCAAGTATGAGACACCTTTGAAACAGGGCAAGGTAGACTTGCATGTACTATCTCCTAAAGCACTGGGAATACCCCAAGCACATGTTTGAACCAGCAAATAAACAAACCCATTCCTTTCAACCTTTAGGTTTTACTAGTGTTACAGCTTTTCATTCATATATAATTATTTATAAAAATAATAATTATTTTTACAGAGAGCCAGCAGTGAGAAACATCTTTATTCCAAAAATTAAATATTCAATTTCAGAACACAAGAATCTTGCTTTTATTTTACATGGAGGCAAGTATTTGTAATTGCAATAAGTATCTGACTGTCAGTGGAAGTTACTGAACTTCATTGTCCCTTGTCAGGAGGAAGCTATACTTACATAGGAATTTCTTGTCCATCTACCACTGAAGACTTCTAAAAAGTTACTAAAATAATTCCACACGGACATGGTCATCTTTCCATATTAGCACATTCATACCAGAACACTTGGTCAATGAATTCCTTTACCTTTATATAAAGGATCCAATCCAACACACAGCATTTGAGTAGTTATCCACCCCATTTAATGCACCAGTTACACCATAATCAACCTTTGTAGCTAGGAGGGGGGGGGCTACTGTATGGTAATATAATGTATCCCTGTACCAAATGTTACATCAACCTATATACAATGTATATGCAACTAAGCAACAGCATGCATTATATTTACAGACTATGTAACAAAGCCGTGCACAACTTCAAACTGACTACACAAATTAAAAAATTCATTCAAATGTTACAAATTTATTTGAATTATGAAAATTGAACGCCATTGAAAGGGAATCTAAAAAAATTCCCCCACATCTGCTCTTTTATCACGACATTTACTTCTAGCCTTTGTCCGAGCCTTGAATGCTGCAGAGTTGTACAAGTGCTACAAAATAAAAAAAGAAAAAATAATTACATATTGTCAAAAGGCTTATGCCCTTGAGAGATTTTTCATGTTACAAAACAAATGAAAATATCATTTTATTAATCTTTGAAGTAAACTGGCAGGCCTTTTGAAATTTATAGTATGCTATCTTTGCAACCAAAGGCTAATTTTAGTATGTATATATACACAGACATATATATTTAAAAGAAACTTGGCCTGTATAATAAATGCTGAGCCATGAGAAGTTCTGGAAGCCAGTCAGTCTTAAATATCAAGGCTATGGCTACACTTACCCCCAGATTAAACTTGATAACACCATTCCCCAAATTATATGCAGGATTAATGCATTCACAATCAACAAAACAAGGCCAACCTCCTAGTGTCCATTTCATACTGCAGAGTTTTTTGGGATACAGTCTTTATAAAGATTCCGTTTCCACAGTTTCCTGTGGGACCCTCCCCAAAAACATGTATCTCTCAGAAGAGAACAAGTTTCACATGCGTGGAGAATGAATCTAGCAACCCAACAGCAACCACAACCTTCAGACCCCTTGGAAAAAGCACAGAAACAGACACACACCCAGCAGAAAATCTAAGAGCTCACAGATGCATACAAGTACGGCTGGGTTTCATTCAGGACAATATGAGGCACTCTTAGAACTACAGTGACAAATGTTAACAATGACAGCTTCTGAAGTGCAGAAGTAATTAGAGTAAGAAGTAAAGAAAATTCATAAAGGTGGAATAACATACCCTTTCAAAACGGGATATCTTCATTGTTTTAAGGGTGGCAGCATCCAGCATTACTGGTGGACCAAGCTCAAACACATTCCGAAGAAAGTCATTTGACTGAAACAAGAAACACATCAAATTATCAGCTTCCCCTCTATATCAAGTCTCTAGAGTTGACTACTGTAAAATATCAAGTATTCCAGTAAGAAATACTAAGATGTGTGTCAAATTGCTGCTATCCTTTTGTAACTAAGTCAAGAATACTTCCTCCTCTTCACCAGAATAAGGCTAAAAGCAAAAACTGCCACCTTGAGAAGACAGACAGCTCCTCCTGCCTTCCTTGATATTTTTGTCCCAGCAAATGAGACACTTCTGTTCTACACAATATCAGGCAGCTGAACAGACCTGTATGGTTTCACAACACACCAGTTTTAAAATATCTGGCTGTGAAAGTAGTACTTGAAAAAACTGAAAAAGCTGCTACGTGCCTCATCTCCCTCAGTCACACAGAAATTCAATTAACACAGGACTGAAGAATTTAACCCCATGATTATCACAGCAATTTGGGAGCATATATTCCTAAGCTATAGCCCCTGCTTCTGTAACATTTGTAAACAGATGACTAGTAAACAAGCAGTTCCCAGAACAGAGATAAAGATTTATGCATTCTCTTCTGGAATGCTGCCATCATTAGGCTGCAATAGTTGTGTTCATTATTTTTTACTAAAACTTTGGCCTTCTTTGACAGGTTTGAATAGGAAGAGTGGAGGCATGCAGCTTTATAGCAGACAGATGACCATACCACTCTGCTGAAAGAGAGCATAAAGATTCATGAAAAACCCCGAAGCTAAAGATATTCAGCTTAAAGTTCTTACTTCTTAGAGAAGTCGATTACTAAGCTAGCACACCCAGGCTACAACTCAGAAGCAGCTTATCCAGACCACTCTAGCTCACTGTAGTTACTTTTTTAAGTGCTATCTTTTAATAGCGCAAATGCAAAGCTCGTCACTTCACTAAGTTCTACTCAGGATTTTGTAATTCAGACTGAATTACATCAAAGAAGCCAGACAGGGAGCAACAGTCTGAGCAAGTGTCAAAGAGCAGCTCACCTGCAAATGATATTGCATCCCCGAGCCCAGAATCTCCTTGAACGTCTCATAAGTTTGTTTTTTAACCCAGCAGTCAATATACATGCGCTCAGGTCCAAACTTCACCATCTCTGTAGGAAAGTCACGCTCCTATGCAAAAATCAAAGGAAACAACATCTAATCATTTTCATTGAAACAGCCTTTTGTACTAGGAATTTTACAGAGCTCAGCAGACTTTATTTTCACTGATAAATTTGGCAATCCAAAAACCTTCCAAATAACATAGTATACATATGCTACAGATGGTATTTGTTCATAAGGCAGAGGCATACCTAAATCTCATGTAGAACTTGAAGCTGATATTCTTCATGATTGAAAACCTTCTTAAAAAACAAATACTCAACCTTAATCTTTAAAATTACTCTAAGAATTGCATTTACCTCCAGGAAAAGCAGTTCTGAGTGCAGAAGTCACCTTTAAGTCAGCCTGTAAGCCTCATTTTAGTCTCTACCTTACAGATAAGAGTAGCTACACTTGGGACAGTGGAATGTAACAAGTGCTAATAGGTGACTCAGATCCTCCTACAGGAAGAATCCTAAAGGTGACTTCTAATCATGCCAAGCCTTCTCCTTAGCTTCCGTGATGCTTAACTATTCCCATTATCTTTGTTCAACATTCCTAAAAGAAAAAAAGCAGTTCTATTCCACATGTGATCAGACTATGAAATCTCAAAGTAGCTTTTTTCTTGTTTCTTTAACTGACACAGTAATTCTGTTTAATAATATTGTTTTTACTAAATTGTACACTATGTCTTTTGAAGGTCTAGATTGTAACAAAGATAAAAGAATCACCTCAACAGCCCGTAGAACATCTCTGAAGACAGATCGCTGCTTTCTTTTATCCACTTTGGCCCGGTGCTTGTTTCCATCAGTAGCCAGAGCTCTTAGTTTCTCTGTTAGAAGGTCCATATCTTCATAAGAGAAATCCTACGTTACAAAAAAATATTTTTTTTTTAGGTTTTAGTTTGTTTTACAGCCTTCACCTCATTTCCCACAAAAAAGAAAATGGATCTCTAAATTTTGGTCAGGTAGATCTCTACAACTTCTTTATTTTGGCCAGCCATGTGAACCATACAGCTCCATCAGTGCGCATATACACCTGCCAATTTTCTTTCAGTCCATAATTGCAAGGGACTCAAAACTGTTTAACAGACCAGCTGAACTACTCCTGCCAACAAATTGAGGGCACTTTAATGTTGTTAACGCAAGATTCATGCTGCTGGAGGCAAACCATGAGACACCATTAGACTGACACTATGGAATATTTAGCTGCAAGTCTTGTATGGACTGGGAAATTAGGAAGAATGTTGGGGGTTTTTTTTTAAATGCTTAACCAAACACTTTAAATAAACTGTTATAAATAGCTTAGTGTTATTCGCTATATAAATTAATATGTGCTTTACATATATATATGTACTTTTTTTTCCACTCCATTTAATAATTTGGCAGTAGTTCACCTGGACTAGTAAGAATGTATGCAAACTTATGTAAAAACAAGTTTTTGTTGTTTTTTTTTTAATCTGAACATTTTTTCATGTCAACTGACTAGAGTGAACTAACCGCAAGCTTT